ATGGAAAATGTTTTTCCTGGTAGGATGGTTTTATCCTGTGGTAGGGAAATTTAAGAGGTATAGTGGATAAAGCAGATAAATAAAGAGGAATATAGTAGAAGCAAGGAGGGCAAAAGATGATCACACAACCTTTGGGAAACTGGAAAAGGGCAGAAGAGAAAGAATGAAGGAGTAAGGAAAGGTCTTTCAAAGCTAACCAGAAAGACTAGAGATAATGTTTACTCATGTGAAAATATTAAATCAAGGGAGATAGTTGATGAAAGGGAAAAAGAAGATGAATAGATTAGGAGAAAAACATAGGTAAAAGATCTAAGAAAAGAAGGAAAATAAAACAAGCAAGCACAGATTTAAAAATATTATAAAAAGTAAAATTCCTATTGTTCACAGAGAGCCCCAAACTACTGGGTAACCACACCAAGCCTACAGAAAAATTAGTGTTGCATGTGGGGGTGATCTCGGTCTACAGATGTGGGATTTGCGGAGGCCGGAGTCTTCAGCCAGTACTTTCTGTGTATCCCTTGGTGCCCCACCCACTGCTCACCTTGTTTGTCTCTACATCCCTCCTAGTTGCTGTGCTGCCATCAGACAGAGACAGGGGCTGCTCCGGGTCCTGTGTATAGTTGTCTCCTCCTGGTCCTTGCATAGCGTCCTGTGTTCCTCTTCCACTGCCTGACATGTCTCTGCCCTCTCAGGTCACTTGTCGTGGGTGGTATAGGGTGCTATGCTGTGGGCTGACCCTGTGCTCCTGCAGGCCCTATCCAAGGCTGCTCAGTCCCAATTCTATCTCCTCTCTGAAGAGGGGAGGCCTCAAATCCCACTTGTTACCGTGCCACAGCGCTAGTTAAGTCCAGAGTCCCTCAAACTACTGGTAGGACTGTGGGAGGGGCTGTACTGTTCCCCTCCATGCTTTTACAGGCAGCTCCTCCACCATCACCATCACCTATGCTGTGGTCGGTAACCTTGCTGACTCTCCGATTCTGCCACTGCTGCTTGCTGTAGGGCGAGGTGGGATGGGTGCTTTGGGCTGACTTTTTCTTTCTGCCACTGCCATGAGGACAGCCCAGGGTTGCTCAGTCCCATTAGGAAGGTTAATTAAGTCCTGTGTCCCTCTAGCCCTGGTCACTGGCCAGAAGAAGTCATGCTGTTCCACTCTGTGCTTTCAGAGTTGCCTTTACTGCCACCACCGCCTGCCTTGGTTGTAGTCTGTAAGCTCTTGTTACGGGGCGAGGTGGGGTGGGGGTTTCTGTGGGTTGAGTTTCTGCTCCTGTCGCTGGCATGAGGACAGCCCCGGGTTGCTCAGTTTGGTAGCACAAGGTTGGTTAGGTCTGCATCCCTCTACTCCCTGGTTGTGGGGAAGGAGGGGTTATGCTGTTCCATTCACTACGTGTCTCTGCAGTCTGTACTGTTGTCCCTAGAAGTTCCAGTTAGCACTCCAGTGCAGAAAAGGAAAGAAAAGAAAGCAAAAGAAATAAAAGGCTGCACATGTCGGGGAAGGAGCAGTGCAGTTGCTCCTGTGTGTGCTGGCAAGGGCTGTGGTGTCCTCAGTTTGGAGAAAGGCAAGAGTGGCAGGGGACCCTCTGTCCCAAGTCTGTCCTGTGTGGCTTGATCTAGCTGCATTATTTTAGTCTATCTGTTTTTTTCCTTTTCTTCTTTTAAACTTCCTAGTATGGTGGTCCTATTCTGCCCACAGTTGGGTGACCCACCAGCAGCCTGGAGGCTGGATTGCTGTTTTATTAAGTTCTATATCTATGTTTTATTTGATCTATAAGTCTCTTATTTCAGATTGACTTTAGTTTCATGATGTATTTCCTTCCCTTTCTTCCAATTACCCATGGTTTGGAAGCCTCTGAACAATATAGATTGCCCCAAAGTACCCCAGTTAGAGAAGAGGCTCAGTGTGCAGACCAATAAAGCATTCGTGTTGTTTTTCATTAAAAGAGACAAGAATCAAAATGTGGGTTCAGCAAATTCTGGAAATAATTCTATTTGTGTTGACTATGAAACACCATTTGAAAAGTGAGAGGATGGAGAAGTTTGGCAAGAAATAGAGCTTACTTAGAATGGTCCATATACTCTAAGCTATATGTGAGAGAGTAGTTAGCTGGAGGATTGGGTACTGTCAAGAAATTGGAAAAAACGCTAAATGTGTGGATGTACTCAGAGGAGAAGATCAATAAGTGATAAAGACAGTGTCCAAGTATTTCAAAAGAGGAAACCCCAGAACATAAAAACAAAAACAAAGGCAAAAATGAAACAACAAAAAACCATAAAAATGGTACAGAATTTGAAAACAAGATGATAGGAAATTAGCAATGGCTGTTACATTACATATTGTTATCTTCAAAGTAGTTGCTCAGATTACCAGATACAGCATGCAAGATTGATCGGACAATTAAACATTAACTGTTCCTTGCAATAAACCAGTAGAAATTAGTAGTACAGTTATCTTAGCTATCTTTGTGTATGTGTGTGTGTGTGTGTGTGTATATATATATGCATGTATGGATATATATACACACACATATATTGTGTGTATATGTTTGTATGTGTATACACACACACACACATACACACACACACACACAGAAAGGAACTAGGAATACAAAGCTGCTTCTTATGCAGTTATACATTATTGTCTTACAATGTTGTGATAAATTGAAATATGGTACATTTTTCTCACTGTAAATAGACTGCAATGAACACCTTCAGTCACTGAAGAAAGTTGAACACAGAATTACCATGTGACTCCACCTCTCCACTAGAGATATTATAGTCCAAGAAGTAAGAACATTAGTTCAAACAAATCTTCTTACAAGTATTCAGAGCCAGCTGTTCACAGCAGCCCAAAGGAGGAAATGACGTGAATGCCTATTTTGAGAAGAAAGGGAAAATAGAACATGATACTCTGAGAGGAATGCTCTTCAGCTACCAAAATCAGTGATAGTTTTCTACTATAATATGGAGGAACATGAACACCTAATGTGAAGTGAGATGAAAGAGTCTTGGAGATGGTTTTATATAGTTTCATTCCTATGAACTACTCAGAATAGATCAATCAATAGAAAGTGATAGTTGTACAATCTGAGACCATGAGGATTAGAAAGTGGCTGCTTAGGAAAGATTTAGTTTGTGAGGGGATTAAAATATTCTGGAAGTAGATAGACACAATGATTGCAGAAATTTGTGAATGGGAACCATATACTGTGAATGTGAATGTGGATGTATACTTGGCTCTTAGCTGTTCACTTTACTATGGCTCATATTTGTCTTGTGAATTTCACCTCAATTAAAAATTCATGTTCTGAGTAGAGTTGTTTTTTTTTTTTGGTTTTTCTCCGGTACCGGGAACCGAACTCACGACCTTACACTTGCCAGGCAGGCGCTTTTGCCGCTGAGCTAAATCCCCAGCCCCCTGAGTAGAGTTGGAAAAATTAAACTTACAGCCAAGGTAAAACAAAAAAAAACATTGTTAGAGCACATGTTTATAGAATCACCCCTATGTGTATATGAAAACATACTTTGTGTACCAAGAGACTATTACAGAACAGTTCACAGACTTAGGGCTTGCATTACTTATCCATTTCAACAGCTAGTTTAACACATACTTTTCTCAAGTGGATGGCTGAATAGGAGCTCTGTGGACAATGGAGTCCAATCCCTTAAGGTGTTTAACTTGACTAATCCTTGCATTCAGGAATTTTTGTTTTTAGTAAATGATGATTTCAAAGTACAGTCACCAATCTTCCAAATCTACACTGGAGCCAAAAGAGAGTGAGGAAGATAAAATATAAAACAAGGACCACTTACATAACTTATCAGTGTATGGATATGTACATTGTCTGTAATTTGATAAAACACGGCAATTAATTCAATGTCATCAATTTGAGGAATAGTAATCAGATAGCATTTCTTTCTTTTTTTTTTTTTTTTGGTTTTTCTCCGGTACCGGGAACTGAACTCATGACCTTGTGCTTGCCAGGCAGGCGCTTTGCCACTGAGCTAAATCCC